TGTCTTTCTTTCTTTCTCTCTCTCTCTCCGTCTGTCTGTCCTCAATCTCTGTGCTTTAGCAGAGCAGGTATGTGTGTTTAAAGTAATGACGCTGTTCATTTAGTGCCAGACAGCGCAATAGCTGTGAGAAATAACTTCAAAGCAGACAAAAAGTACTTCTTTAAAGTGTTGTGGCAATAAGGATTGTGCCGTAAAAACAAAATGGATTGCACATTGCGGTTATGCATCGTTTTCATTCTTATAAAACGCTTATGTTATTTTGCAAGGTTGGAAACATGACGTCCCTGAACAGTATCTCTGTTGGGCTTCCTGGAGATGCATTATGAAATCCACACCGTGCTCATCAATATAACGCCATGCTAAAGCTCAGACAATAAATGCACCCAATTTACCAATGGAGTCGATAAAGAGAAAAAGAATCTGAAAAACGGCTAATCTGCGGAACAGATAATACCCATCTGAAAGATGCTGGAGGATGAAATATCCAACTGCAGTTTGTTGTCGTTTTTATGTGTTTTGCTCTCCTCTTGTTTGTATTCCGGGGCCGCCGCCTGGCTCCGAGTGAGGTATACAGAGTCATTGCTCTTTTGGCTCCAGCCCTGACACCTTGTGCCCTCAAGTGTGGACTCCTTAGCCGCGATCTGATCAGCATCTTTATAGTTTATCAGCCTTGGGGTTCAATTTTGGCTTGGATGCTTTTACAAATGAACGCAATCACTGGTGAGCCTTCGCATCCTGATTGCATTGAGAGAAGCGGGTGGAGGAAACTTTAGTGGATTACCGTGCCACTTGAGGATGGAGCACAAACACACATAGAGGCCCGCATGTGTACCCCCCCCCCGCCCCTCCTCCCATTGGCACTCGCTGCTTGTACTCTGTCTTATTTCACTAAAATAATATAATTGTCTCCCGTCTTATTGCTTGTAAAGCCATCTTCTGTCCGCAGGCGATGTGTGTGATCAATGCACTATCTAACAGAATCAATTCTTCCAGGAATACCTTGTGTTTGTGAAATGATTCCAGGCAGCTGCAGCAGAAGACGAAGGCTGGAAGTGGGATTGTGTGCTACTAGGATTAGTTTAGTGACTTGGACCCTCCAGTTCACACTGAATAGTGTGGCGCTTCGCCCATTTCTCATGTTTTTCCCCGTGTGTGTGTGTGTGTGTGTGTGTGTGTGTGTGTGTGTGTAAAATAGGCTTCCAAGGGAATTCACATTCATATTGCCAGTTATGGGAATCATCCCTGAAACATCTTCTAAACTGTTTATTCCACTTGTAACAGCTACAGTATTTGGTACCCTTGAGATGTTTTCAACTTTGCTGGAAAATGGTAATAAATGTAATGTCATTTGTTCGGTAAGGAGAAACAGATTGTGTACATTTTACCGGAAAGGAATTTGTTCTTATCACTTCCAATATGTATATGTTTTTAAATCACTCCAAGTATCTATTTAATCTATCAACACTTGAAGTAATAAACATTATAGCGTTGACAATGTATCGAAAAAAGCACATATGTTTAAGCTAAGAATTACATAAAACACTCAATTCAACCCAAAAAATATCAATTTTATTCATAAAACAATAAAATACCAATGGTGAAAGAATGTATAAAGACTGCAACTTACCATCATTCATGTCTGCAATGCCTATCACATGAATGAATGAATGTCCCACTGCCAATCCTGTTCCCAGTGTGCACCCCTCCCCTAATTCTACAACTAAACAATGATATCAAAAGTGAATTATGGGAGACCTCTGGGGTGGATCGTGGAGAGTAATGTGCCAAAAAACTATTACAGGGGGAAACTATGGGAATAGACCCCCTCTGGAGGAGCAACAAAAAAGAAAAGACAGAATTGTGGAGCGGGATCAAGCCAAAGGGAACCATGTTGGCGGGTCAGGTCGTAATTGATTGTCTGTGGAAATCTATGGTGTTTCTCTCTCATATCTCCTGTTCTGATGTAGAAATTAGAAAACGTCCTGAGAAGCATGATTGACGTTGCTGGCATGTTGTTGTAATATAATGTAAACTACTGGCTTGGAGAGCCTTTAGCGAAAGCATTATCAGGCTTAATAAGCATGGAGAATTTCCCAGGAAGTACCATGGCATATTGAGTTACTTCTGCGCGCTGAAGGAAAAAAAAGGAGACTTTATGCAAATTCAGGTGCACCGTAGCAATTGTCATTCAGTTGTTTAGTCCGGTGGTTTAATTCGATTTGAGGGAAAACAGCAATGCCAAATTGTGTCGTTCGATACCATCGCTGCAATGATTGAGTTATGCGTTTGTGACTGGAGTTCGGTCTGTTGCTCAGCAGTTTCCGGCTTTAACTGAGAGAGAAGTCAGCACTGAAATCCTTTTCATTTCCTTTGTAAACCACATGTCATGTTATATATTAGCTGGATAAGGGACGTATGTGCCTTCATGCCTGTGCACCTTAGATGTGGCTGGAGATTTCCCCCCTTCCATTATTTCCGTCCCCTTTGCTTTGTTTACTCTCCTACAGTCTCATCTTCAAGTGTCTTGTTTTGTGTCTCTCCCTCTATTGCTCTCTTTCCCTCTCGGTCTCCCTCCACCCTGCCAGCTCTGCAGCGCCGGCCTCAGTCCATTCTTTGGGTAGCACAGGAAGTGAAACTGTAACACAGAGTTCACTGGTAATTGGCCACGGTCACGCTAACCAAACAGGAAGGAATCTGCAACTGATTAGAATTCTTCCTCCTGCAATAATAGTCCCCCCAGCTTCACCCCCCGCCCCCCCTACGAAATTAATTACATTCTGGGTCTATTCCCACTATTGGTTTTCCTGTTTTGAAGCTGCATTATAAAAAGGGACAAATCCCAAGACAACACAGCCGAGCTAGTTTTTCAATTACACACAGACGGGCTCATAAAGGGCTGAGGAAGCACAGACAGGCATCCGTCTAACCTCCTGTTCATCCGGACGGTCAGATCACTCAGCAAGGCTCAGACTGCTGAATAATCTCTATGGGCCACACACACACACACACTCTGTCAAAGGCTGTGTAGAATTAACTCAAAACAAATGTTGTAGTCGGGATAATTACTGTAATTTTTCAACAATTTTTAAGTCACAAAATAATTCTAAGATTCACCAACGTTTAAGTATAAAACAAACAATATTTGTATATTTATATAATAATAGTGTCTTCAAAATGAAGACATTTTCCAAAAGGCATGATTTGTTATGTAAGAAAAGTACAAACATCAGTAGGAGTGTTAACATTCAGAGTTGACTCTAAAAAGGTACATTCGTGCTCAAAATCCTCCACTTTAGAAATGTTATTGAATATTTTCTTTTTATCTGTATTTATTTATTAGCTTAAAAGATGCTATTCTAAGAAGTCAAACAATGAAGAACAAGGAGACCAGTAATTTCAATGTTAAACTTGGCATATTTTATTCTCCTCCAGAAGCATGTAAATGTGAAAAAATATATGTGCCAATACATTGTGAATTGTATGTAAAACCATATCTGTGTGTTGCCAGCTGGCATCAACACCACAGGAGACCAGGAGTGGACCATTTGTACGGTGTGCAGAAAACGTTCAAAAACAATCTGGTGTGAACGCTGCCCACCTGAAATTGTTTTGATGTTGCATTTCGAACAAGTGTACTCGCTTGATCTGACATATTCATTTCAACAAATGAGGTTAAGCACACAAGCGCAGCAGGACGCCACTGTGCACATGCAACGCTGAAATACTGCGGCGTTCAGCACCTTTCAAAATAAAATGAAAAATAAAATCATACCGATGCATTTTCATCTCATCTTCACAGAGAGACGTGGAGAGCCAGGGCTGCTTCAAAAATAAATGAATGCCTAACAATGTTTTTGATGTCCTATATTTAAATTTGTACGGTTACTTACATTACTCCTACTTCCCTGGTCTTGGAACTAATCCGATTGATATGGAAATGGGGTGCTGTGTTTCATGACAGAGTTGGGGAGAGGGGGAGAGAGGGAGAGCATTCCCAGGTTCGCTCCTACTCAAAATGTGCTGAAAACAGATTTTCAGAACGCTCTGGCTTCATGGTATTGGTTATAGGGGATTACACAAACTACTTAGAGCTCCACAATGAGCTTCTCTTTTCAAGCTGCAAGAAGTGCTTCATGCTGGACACATTCTCCACACCCCAGAGGTCAATCAGGAACAAATCAAGCAAATATTGTGATTGTGCCGTCCACCATCGATACACGTATTATATAGAATGACATTTGATTTTTTAGAATTAAAGCAGGAGGAAACTTTCTTGAAAAAATATTTCTGTATTTGTTTAATTGCACAGAGGAGTAGGTTCAATAGTGATTTAGAGAATTAGACTATAATAAATACATCGAAAAATACAAAATCCGGGCAATGTGAGGCAGTTAAAATTGTAACGTGCAAAACCTTTATATATTTACGGAAACGTTGCTAAGTGACTTAAGTCAACTTTAGTCATTTCTGTATTTTTTGACAGCCCTATAACTTTAATGTCAGTTTGAATGAGATTTAGCCTAAACTGTTCTTTCAAACTTCAACAATTTACTATACTAAAATTATATTTTACAAAGTTTACAAACCATGATCATTAAATAGCAATATTGTTTTTAATTCACAATCTTGTAAAACATTTTTTAGTTTTTGATAAAGTTTTTTTTAAGCAGTAAATATTTTTAAAAATCGGTTGTTTTTTTGGGCTGGATTACCAACATAAATCATTTATTAAAAACATTAAGATCAAACTAAATAATTGTGTTAATATAATGAGCTGACGTAAAAACAGTTTGTCATTTCTGACAAACTAGCTAATCTGCAGCAGTGTTTCCTAAAGCGCAATAACATAAATCACACACACACACACACGTGGTATGCAGCTTCTGCAGCAGCAAAGTGAACCAATATCTCCCCGCGCTTCCTGCTCGCTGTCCGGGCAAATCCTTATCAGCTGCAAACTCTTCTTTTTATCTTAAACTGCATTTAAAATCGTCACTTACCAATTCCCCCTTCTTTAGCTAAACAGCCATTCAAGCGTGTGTTGTCTGTCATTGGGGTTGAAAATTGGGGAATGGGCTGGAAATTGGAACCACCGAGGATGCCGTCCTGGAAAAGAAAAAGAGGAAATCAAAGTTAAATGAGATCATGCATGCCAAGAGAATGTTTAACCAAAGGGCAAAAAGGAAGCTGGAGATAACAGAGAAGAGAAAAGCGCTTAATGTTGTGTTACTGCAGTCTGTTTGGAGTTGTGTGAGTGTGTGTGTTTTCAGAGGGGGTGTTACTTGTCAATACACATTTAAACCGTCATTTCGTACATCTGTGTGCAACTGCATCTCTTTAAGTAAATACATGATACTTCTCAAGTATTTGATGACGCATCTGAGTTTAACCTTACAAGAACATGTATTGTGTGTGCATGTGCAGGTGTGTTTACAGGTGACGAGGGGCCCCATGCACAAAAGTTCATCCCATAATGCAGTGTGTTTGAAGTGGTGCACCACAAACAATCATCCTGTGGTTGTGCTGAGCCGCGTTGATGCAGATTTCCTACGCCAAGTTCACTTCAAAGACTGGAAGCCCGGCCCCACCCAGAGCCCAGGGTGAGATGATCGACGGGCAGATGCTTTGTTTTAACATGAGAGGACATCGGAGAGAAGGCAGCACCGAGAAGAACGGGGGGGGGGGGGGATTTGACTCAAACAGTACAGTATAAGATTGTTTAAAACACAGCATTCCTAAACTGTGACCATGTGAAAACTTACTTATGTATAGTACACATACATCTGTTTGGTTTACATACTTATTTATATAATATGCAGTATTTTGTTCCACTCTACGGTATGTTATCTTACATCCTGCCCTATTTTATTTCTATTCTTTGTATGACTTAAGTATATGGTATGTTGCACTTTTTGGGAAGCTTGGGTCGTTTTTATACATATATATTTTGTAATGCCTTAACTACTTTTTTGCATATGACAATAAAGCTTTTGAATAATTGCATAAACGAACCCCCCTCTGAAACAAGCAAACAACCGAGACTGTGTAAAGAAAAAGGAGGGAACACGTGAGAGTCGCTCATCAAAGATAACAAAGGCAGCAATGAAGGTGTTTTTATCTGATGTATGATTAAAATCCTCTTCATCACCAGAGCTGTGAATAATCCTTTATCTTACGCTGGCCTCTCAGCTGACGTCTAATCTCTGCTTGTTGTTTGTGCTCCTTCTCCACCGATGGAATCAGCGATCACGACGGACGGACGGAGCTGGAATGGAGTACGTCTGGATGCTGTTTGTTTTATTTAACTGGGCATTTATCCTCCCAGGTATTTGTGTGTGTTTGTGTGTGTGTGTGTGTGTGTGTGTGTGTGTGTGTGTGTGTGTGTGTGTGTGTGTGCGTGCGTGCGTGTGAGCTAGGGAAGGAGAGTGATCATGACGGAGAGATGACAGGAGAAAAGTTTCCAGTTCTTGAGCTGAAGAGTGGGAAACATGTCAAGGTCAGAACACACGCTCTTCCAAGGAATGAAGAACAGATATGATCTCGTTCTCACGGGCCTTGATGTGGCTCTGATTCGAAGAGAATGACTCACCAAACGTCGATCAATCAAAGCATTTTATATAGTATAACCTTCATTTCTTGCATTATGACTGCTTTTGCCGGTTGATTCCATCCAATTGCTTTTCAGCCATGCTCTCTCCTTCAAAAAGACGTTTTTATAAACTTAGCGAACCTACCTAAAAAAAACACAAGTTGTCAATTATACACAGGGTGATGTCATGTGAACAGAATACCTGTGGGTGTGCACCATGTTCTCACTGAATCACTTGGCGCTGCGCTTTATTTCTTAATTCTCATCGCCATGAAGCACTTCAGAAAGAATATCAACCCAGGAGCGATATTTCCTGCAAGCAAAAACTAGTTCAAAGGCATTTTTTCCTCACTTCCCCCCCCCAACCCTCAACTTACTGTCCTGGCATCTAGACAATTTCCAATTTGCGATGACTTTTTTTTACAAGATTTGTTCTTTTACTGACTTTGTAGCAGCACTGAAGCCCCCCCGGGCCAGAGGGTCATATAACTGATATGTGCAGGAAATGAAAAGCATGTTTTAAAAGTGAAAATTAGGTTTAATTGCGGTGTAGGGTTCAAATGTAAATCACAAATGACAAACTTATGAGACTTTTGCATTATTTAAACAAGTACTGTATAGTAAGTTTACGATTTTGTTTTAAATATTATTGGATAATTAAAGTTTATATTGTGGATTTTCTCACTTACTTTTTTTTTTCCTCACTTACTTTTTTTGAGCATTATGTATATTTATTAGATTTTGACATGTGTCAGACAATGAGAAGCACATGCTCTGCTTTGATTTCTTAAGTCAGGTATTTTGGTCTAATAAAAACAAACAAGGCTCCAACTTGCATACAGAAACACATTTTGAACGCGTCCCTGACACGTGAAGATAACCTCCGTTCCATTAGCCCCTGACAAAGCTCTCCTCACACCTTATACTCCCTGACTTCTACATCAACGCCGATCGGAAAACAAGGCCAAAGACGGGAAATAGAAACGAACGTGCGAAGTGTCCTTGGAGTAACCAAAACAAACGTGAGTCCAATTTCCTCCTTTGTCACTTTTCATAGCTTTACACTCAACTGGAGAGCTGAGAAAAGAACGTGTTGTCGGCCTGCCTGAAACACTGGCAGCTCTCCTGCCCCGTGTGTGAGGCTGACATCCAGTTTCCTGAGTGAAGTCATTTCCTCAGTAGACGTTTTGCACAAACACAGGACTAATATCCAAAAAGGGGGGGGGGGGGGGGGTTCAGGGGCACTTGAAGGAACGGGCTGACGGCAAACATTCACCTTTAAATGTAATTCCACCCCGCGCAGATAAGCCACTCAGTAGCCACGGTTAACTGGGAAGATATTATGATAAATTGACTTTTATTAGTATTTTCCCCCATTATTCATGACAATAACAATACACTGTCCTCCGATGGTAATGGCGCATGTGTGGATGCATCACTGGCAAAGGCGAGGGTACTTATTATGGAAACGGTGCCGTGATGAATGTGTTAGAGCAACTCAAACTTAATCTAAACTGCATTACATGTTGTTTTGAATATACCTCGCTGATATGCCCGTCTTTAATCTACTATCAAGTGCAGGCAGCAGAATTGCTTTAGTCTCAGAATTCAGAGAGCGGCGGAGAGAGGCTTTAAAATACTGTCTGTGAGAAATGCAAAATGTATGAATACCCCCCTCACATCTCAGCTTGATTTATGTGAAATAATAATACACTATTTAATGCTTAAACATAGCTAGGAGCGATCCCTGGCTATCAAGATGTACAATGGAGTAATGGGGCTGGAAGACAAATCACCTTGTGGACTTGTGATGCTTATTTAAAGGTGCTCAGGCAGATATATTAAACTATATGTAATTGTACACTAACTCTGTGCTGTAGGCAGAGGCGGCAAACACAGGAGGAGGCCGGTCATGATGCAGATGGAGTGGTGTAATCAATTTGACTCAAGCATCAGCATCCAGGAGGGGGGAGGGAGGGAGGAGACTGGGGGAGGCTCTTCGATCTGCTATCTTGTCCTCTTATTTATGTTTAAGCCTTGATTCAAACAGCTTTACTTTTGAAGTGTCAAACAACTTGTATAAATAAGGCATTTGCATGAGATGGAGAAAGAAAATCCCACATGCAAAGTTAATGCTGGCTAACTGGGTGTGTCTACTGTAAGTCTTGGCACAAGGCGTGTCACTTTAAAAGAAGAGGTTCAAACGGAGCCAGTGGTCCCAGGGAAAAGTGATTTATGATTCACTGATTGCCTCATTTAATTAAAGTAAATGGCAAAGCCGGAGCGAGGCCAAATTGTCCTGATCTGATGAATTGGACCCCGTTTTACCACCAAAAGCAGGTAGGGTAAATAAACAGGGTAATTACAATGGTAAATGAAGCCTGTGTGAGCGAGCCCTGTGGGCTGTGGGCGGCTCACCCAGGATGTACTAAAGAAGTGAACACCAGGCGTTCCTGTAACTTTCTTTTATCATCTTCCCCCTGTTTCTGAGGCGCGGACATGCCAAGAAAAACACACTAGCGTACACACAGACACCTACGAGGGGGCACTTACTCTCACTCAGTGACACACAAACCGCAGCGCTCCCCCCCGCACCCCCAGCCCGGTGCGTTCATGTACAATTATAGCTACGGTGATCCACAGGTGTTGAATTCTTCTGGCAAGCCATAAAACATGATATGCATGATTTGTGCAGTCAGCCAGGTCTGTAATTTCATTCTCCTTTTCTTTCATTTTCCCCTTCCTGGGCCACACGATCCATTTTCCTGCTTTATGAGAGCGCAGACACCCAGAGAGACTCTCAGGATGATTACATGCCCCCCGTGCCATGGGGGGTCTAAAGGAGCCAGCCTGAGAGCCGTGTCAAACCTGGGTGAAAACCTCTATTTGAATAAGGTTTTGAATATTTGAAGTGCTCCAGGTGTGCGTCATTTATCCTCCCTAGACTCTTCGAGTAATCAACTTTTAATATATATTTTTGAGCCACTTACTCCCCACTTATGCAGAACGCCGCCATACAGTACGAGCACTGAATTGAGATCAGGACACAAGCCGACACGGTCCTGTGAGTGTGTGGCAAAATAAATCAAGCATACCTCACATGGCTCGTGTTTTTAAGGCTATATTCATGTAGGCATATGCAGGCCTGATGTCACAGCACGAGGGTCTGTTGGCAGAGGACTGCGATGTCCTCCAGGGGAAGTAAACAAACTCGGTCGAAGTGTGGTCTAAACGTGATCAGGGTAAGAGGTAAGTCCTCTGCTGTGGCACACACACACTTCCTAGGTATTATTTCCACACCTACAGTATAAACGCCAAAGGAGGAAGAGTAAAAATTGAGTTTGTACATATTAAAACTGAGTCATTATTATAAATCTGATCCAAGATTCACATAAGCGCATTTCTAATATCACTCTGAGATTTACCATTGCTTGCCATTATCATAAATATAATGTTAATATCTATGTAAATAACTGCCTCATGGATTTAAGATGAGCCTATAGTAATCGCAAAAGGATGTGAAAAGCTAACTGGGCCACAGAGCACATTTTTGCATATTTGCACAATTTCAGTGTTTTTGCAAAAACCTGTCAACAAAGAGACCTCCCCCAGCGTCAATCCATGAGTAAATAATATTCAGACGTAAACACAGCACTAATCCTGGTGTGTGATTGACATTTCATATCTGTGACAATACTCCAAATAATTAAAAACACAAATCTTGAAAGGTAATAGCTTCTCAAATCCATTAAGTAGTTAAAGGTTATGAGGGAAAAACAGGATTATTGCTCACAGCAAAACTCGTAATTAAATGAGACTAATAATTTGTTTCTCAATCCCTTTCTCTTCATAAGCAGAGCGCAGGTTAAATGAATGGGCAATGAAACATGTGTGTCATTTACCGTCACTCTGAGGAGACAACAACCCCCCCCATTTTCTGTCTATAAGTATTAGTGCAAAAGCGAGTATGGTAGATTGGATAAGCAGACGTACAATTCCTGTTAAATTGTTTGTTTAATTACTTTTTATTTTCCTTTTCTTGTGGGCACACTTGCAAAGAGAGATGCTTCCCCCTCCTGGCTGCTCATAAGAAAGCCAAAGAGTCCCCGGTCTCCTTCCTGCCCTCGGTGCCACCTCTGCACTCCTGTGTGTGGACACACTCGTTTCACACAGGTGTGTATCTGTGTGTGAATGCAAGCAACCACATTAGCAGTGCAGTCACTTTGTGTGTGAACCAACACTTCTGTGAATCCTTGGTTGACTCCTGCATTAATATACACTAAACGAATGTATTCGTATACATTTGAAAAAAGGTGTCATTAATAGGGCTAAAGCTCTATGCTGCTAAAATAGAAAAAAGTGGAAATTCATGACATGAGCTGCACTGCTTCCTTCCCCTTGTGCCAACACAAGCTGTCAGCTGATGGCAAATATCTAATACAGAAATAATAAAGTATATTATAATAGTTGTTAAGGAAGATGCAGTTGCTTAAGTGCAGTTAATGTATGACCTGTTATTTGTGTTGCTTTTCTTTTAAAAGTGTTTTTAAGTACTCACTTAAAGCAAGAAGTTGGTTGAAAGAATAGGTTTCAGTCAAACTGATTCTCATGAACTAAAAATGTTTTTGTTATTACTTCTTCTTACTTATAGAATAACATATTGGTGGGAAAATGCTAAAAAGCCTGAAAGGAATTGTTTTAATCCGACAAATTTGCATTAATTACATGAGCTTTTGGCCTATACATTTTAATTAAAAAGCCCAACATTTTGAGGTGCTAAATATTAATATTTTGTTTTTAAACATGGGTTTTAATAATTATTCCATTATTTAAATTGTTGCCACATTGTCAATTGTAATCGATTACTCCACTTTTCAGCTGTTGTAAAAAAAACATAGGAACCAAGATTGGATTTATTCACTATCAAGTCAGCAAATACATTAAAAAAGGATTTCTTAAAATAAAAAAGCGTTATAATAATCCTATAGGGCTGCTAGTATTAGTACAACTGCGGTTTGAGTTCCTGTTTTGAATTTAGCAGCCTGTTTACTGAATGTAAATTGACCCTCACGCTGATATGAAGCCCCCCTCTGATGGGGAAGGCATATTAAATGGCTGAATCTAAAGAGGTCCGACCCAGCGTGCACCTCTTGCCCTCTGATGACAGGGAACAGATGATCTGAATTTCAAACATCCACAGCCACCGTGAGCCGGTCTGTGTCTGCTCGCTGGTCACTGCAGGCAGGGAGGATAGGGGATGGAGGGAGGGGGGTGGTGGAGGAGTGGAGGGCGTGAGACGAGGGGGGAAAGAAAAATGTAAGGAGCAGCAAGCCTAGCAGATCAAAGAAAATAACATGGGAGAGGATATGAGTGCTTTGAGAAGTAATATAGGCGAGATAGCATCTGTTTTCCGTAGCATGCAGGAGGCTTGAGACGAGCCCAGGAAGAAGACAACGCAGAGCGGGTGCACTTTAGCCGCGGATAAGACCAAACACAAATGGGTTATTAAGAAGCCCTCAATGTAATATCTGGCTGACATTAAAGTGTCTCCTTTTTCTAAATGATCCTCTGCCAGGGTTAGGGGGATTTTTGATGATACTAATATTGAATAAATAGTATGAAGGATCATTATAAGGGAGTGGATGTTTATATTGAAGAAGAAAAACACTGTTATTTTATCAGCGGGGACTTAACTAAACCCAGAGAAGGCCTGTTCTGTAACTAACAGCTCCAAAACAAACACTTTGATGCCTGTTGATGATTAAAAAAAAAAGGTAGAATCTTCTGAGTCTCATCTCTACAATAACTGGAATTGAAATGGGCTTTAATGAAGAGGGATTGCTCATATTTTTATTATGTGATTTATTGATCGGTATTTAACCCTGTCTGTGAGAAAACATAAAATACATCCTACATATTGTGGTTTAAGGATGAGTATTCAACAAATGCTAAACTCTGTGCAGGACACTCACCCGGTTGTCTATTTTCATTTCTTTGGTCCATATAGTATATCAAAACCATTCATAGGTCGCGCTCCCATATGAGCCTCCTGAAGATTGAATAATGTCCTTCCTGATCCGCGCTGCGAGAGGCCATATTGGATCCAGATTTCACTGGTTCAAAAGTCATTTCATTTCTCCCCCTCTTTCTCTCTCTCCTTCCCACTCTGCTTTATTTCTCTCTGTCTCTCTCTGCCTGCTTTATTTATTGCAGGTCCAGTGGTGTGGTACAAAGCCATTACCCGCGCATATGTACCTTTTTGAATAATCAATAAATAATTATTTTATTATTTAATAGGATCGTATGGGGGGAAAGGAAATGGGTTTCATTACATAAATCCATCACGCTTGATGAATGGGTACACTTGTAAAGTTGGACGGGGGAGAAGGGGAGAGTGTTTTGGACGTCCTGCACTGCCTGGCTGAGCACTTGGTTGTAAATATGACATTTTTGTCTCTTTGGGACTGTCAATGGAAGTGCAAGGGGAACCGGGGGAAGGGGATTGTAAATTCACAGAGATTAATTAACCTTTTACATTTGCAATTCACGCCCTGCATCTTTTCCCTGTGTATATTGTGACCCCTATGAGCAGAGGGGTGAGAGACCTGGCCGTAGACGTCTCATTCCAAATGAGTTATTAACAGAATTTTTTTGAATAGATGGAAAAATTGTAGCCTGGCCATTTAGTGTCATAAAGCCCAGGTTGGCGAGGCGGCAGGGGCCTCCCAGGGACAGGAGGCAATACCATTACAATCAAATCTGAGATGGAAGAGGGATTGAGCTGTCCATTCTGAATTTTTATATTGTCAGAGGGCCGGGGAGGAAATAATGCCATCCTGGAGTGTATTAACCTCTGGCTGGGGAAAGAGGACAGGGGGAGAAAGAGGGAAGAGAAACAAGGCAGGCACAGGGAGGGATTTGAGATTGGACAGCAGGGAGAAAGGAAAGCTGGAAGAGGGAGGAGAGGAATGAGGGGGGGGGGGGGGAGAGAGTTGTTTGCCTTATGCAGGGGGAGCCAAAGAGGGAGAGACAGGGATATGAGATGGTCAGAATAGAGGAAGGGTTGAGTTGGGAATAATGGATTTAGAGGGAAAGAAATGTAGGGGGGGGCAGCCTATATGGACATCACTTCAAAGGAGGAGAGAGGATGGGAAAGACAGAGGGAAATAATTGGAGGAGGAGATAGGAGAGGTGGGAGAAGTTATAGGGAGAGATTCAATTTGGACAATATAAAAGCATTATGTGCTACTAAGCTGCTCTCCAGTGTATACCTAACCACAATATTAGGATGATATATGAACATGATACGCACCATGTCATATCATCAACAGGTGAATATGGAAGTGGCTTCACGTGAAGACATGTTAAGTTGTTGTAAGTGTTGATTGAGTTGTATTGCCACAATATAAAACAAGTCCATCAAGTCATGCCTTCAACATTGCTTTCAAAAAGTAGTAAAAGTACACATAAATTAGCAGCAGAATGTACTTATTTACTGTACTTAAATATGTGTGATTGATGGTCAGTGTTACCGATGGGGATTGATGCATGTTAAGGCACCTCAAGTATTGTTTTACTATGAAAACATTTCCATTTGCAAATTACTTCAACACAACTACATTGTGCAATCAAGATTTACTTCATAATGATAAGTAAAATCCATAGACTGTATATATAAAGGTAAAATCACAAAGACTTGTCTATTGCCACTTTAAATACTTTTTTAATTGTATACCATATTAGTTAGGGTGACATAAAGTAAAAATACTTAAGTAAATTAAATGAATGCTTCGTTGTAGTTTTAAAAATAGGCTTATGGTGTTTGAATCAGTGTACTTACTTACTTTTGCTCACTGAGTAGACTGTCCTCAGGCTTCTGTAAAGGCTCTGGCAGGTCACATTGTTGGCTGACGGTCCATTGGCTGTTCCCTAATACAAACAGAGAGGTTATGAATGTAACATTAATATTCTCCAATCAGGTTTGTACTGATAAGACATGTGTGAAGAAGCCTATCACAGGAGGGAAGTAACTGGCTAAACTGTAAAAACTAGCATCACCTGAGTTTGTGGGTCAAGTGCATGGCCGGTGGAGACAGCAAACTCATCTGTAAGATGGATACTTCAAAACAGGTAAGAAAAGCAGCCTTGGTTTACTCTAACTAACAGCTTTCACTCATTTTCTAAACGTCCTATTCCACAACTCATGGGGCTGACAAATGTCATTGTATGTACATATTTTAGACGCATATGTATGCTATTACCTTAGCTAATAATGAGCAGTGACTCGTGGCTGCGTTGACCAATAGCATCGCAGTTCAGAGGTCGCGGTCCGCGGTGGACCGGAAGTTGTTGGCTGCTCCTGCTGAAAGTGCAGGTAGCATTTAGCAAGCTAACAGGCTTGTGTGTGTTAGCTGTTTGTCATTGTTAAAGAGAAATATAAAAACGGTCGTAATGTGCGACAGAAGACACCGACACGTCCACGGAAATGATTTTCGCCTATGAAGAAGAGAATAAACTGACGTAAAGAATCCCGGAAGTGCTGTTGGAGGTAAAGAGCTGCTGTAGCTTGGTTGTTTTGCTGACAAATCAAAGGCAGGGATTAAAATGACACTCTGCTCATAAAATAACCTTGATTGTTAGGATTATCACTCGTGTTTAAATGCTTAACCTATGCCAGCTAATCCAATGACAGCTTTAGTTTACATCGTTAGCAACCGGCTGCTCCATGTAGCCGAGCTAACGTCATACTTACTTTAAACACATGCTACATGTAGCACATTTAATATCAGGAACTATACATCTATTATAAGGTTGAAGTTTAGTTTATGATGATGCTGCGGTTTGCAGTAGTGACAGATCATTGAAACGAGGTAAGTGATTACAGAAAACATCAAAACAGTCACATTTTTGCATGACAACAAAGCTGATTATGAATGCTTCAAAAAGAGGAATATATGACATTATGCAATAACTGTAGACTAGTGATGCAATAGCAGTCTGAGAAAACATGCAAGTGTGTGTGCTTCAAATGTTGTATTGTAGAGACGTATTGCATAGTAAATGTCACTTATTTGCATAACATACTCAAACAATAGCCATTAAAATAATTCAGGGAGTGGCATTATCCGATCATCTTTTGTTGACGTAATTCCCTTGATGCAACCAGTTCAAAACCTTACTTTACCTAAATACTCCATTTAAACTCTATCTATCAACATACTGCTGCAATGCCTCTCCTAATCAAGAGGACACTTCATCAGGAATGTCCTATGTAATTGTTGCTTTAATACATTGTTATTTCCCTACAGCTCCCAGCAGCCGAAGACACAATGAGTGCCAAATATGGCCTGGTGAGCTACAACAGTTCACGGAAGCACATTTCCATCTCCATCCCGTCGTCCACGGAGGTGATGTCGCCCCACATCAAGTCTGTGGAGGAGCTGAGGGTCCTGGGGATCAACCTGAGCATCTACAGCTCGCCCACACAGTTCATGATCTGCGTGGCCGGAGTCTTCCTCTTTTACCTCATCTATGGATACCTGCAGGTAACACACAAAGAAAGACTGTGTTGTTAAGGCTTTGTTTGTGGATATGCAGATACATGCAAATGTAGTCCCTCCAAAGTTAGTTTGCATGTGCTGTTCTGATCTAGTTGCAGTAGTAATGCTGTTAAAGATTAACATGTAAACAAAGCTTTTATTTCACAAGGTGTCCTTACCTGCTTGTTTCTGATGATTTCCTTTTCCCTCCATCCAGGAGTTGATATTTTCCGTGGAAGGATTCAAGCCTTTCGGATGGTACCTCACTCTGATCCAGTTTGGATTCTACTCCACGTTTGGTCTGGTGGAGCTTCAGCTAACGCAGGACAAACGCAGAAGGTACATTATTATCCTGCTCCTGGATGACACACTATACACCAGGGCTATTCAACTTCATTAGCAAGTGGGCCAAATAGGAAAATCACTGGGGGTTTGTGGGCCACACAATACTTTGTCAAGGAATCACTACAAATAACTCTTGCTTACAGTAGTGTTAATAGATAGCCTACTAATACATTAAATGAACTAGTCAAGTGCATCCCTTTTTTTTAACTTTAATTACAGAAAGCAACCAGTCCATAAAAAAGTAGGAAAGCTTCGGTTACAAGGCTTGACACAAAAGTGCAAAATGTTGCATCTTTAAAACTAAGGAGACATGAGGTTTTTTCCCCCAACAGTTCCATGTCCACTAATGTACAAAACAAGATGAATATAATAAAACAGTATTCATCACATTTAACAGTAAGTAGCCCTGTGTATAATATCCTCAACACTTCCAAGCATACATAAGGTGCTTTGAAGACAACACAAGTCCATAAAATGTAATACTAAATGCAAATAGAACATAGTAAAACAATAGCCATCAGACTCACAATAACATTCATATCTTGGAAACATTTTTACAATTTTCGAAACAGTAAGTAGGCGTGTTTGAATGACCATAAAATGAATGACCATAAAAACAGATCTGCATACATACCATGAATCAGACTTCTGTCATGTTTAGCCTGTTTGAGTCAGTGAGAGAAATTACACTGCCTTGATTTAGCTATTTCAGCATAGTTTGGCTGAAGTGGTAAGAGCAATCCTGAGACACTCATGCAACTTCTGATGGTCATGGAGCAACGTGCCCTTGTTTTGATGGCATTCATATGAGAAAAGCTAGACTCACAAGTATAGGTAGATCCAAACATTGTCAGTATAAGCAAGGCCACCTTCCTCATTGTTGGCCACTTGACTCCGTTCAAATGATGCTAGCAGTCCCTGTACTTTCCTTCTCCGTTCCTCTGAGCCCACGGGAAAACTGGCAGAAACAAGCCGTGATTTGAGTTGTAGTGTCGCTTTACGTTGTATTCTTTCATCACGGATATACTTTCGTTGCACAATAAACACACCGGTTTATTACTTGTTGCGGCTGGCAAAGTAAATACATATTTGTCCGTCCATTCATTCTGGAATTATCGATTTTCCGAATCAACTTTAAGTTTCTTGGGCTTGGAGAGAGACATCTTGAAGCTGTTGTTAACTAAAGTACTTTCTCTGTGACCCGCGAACCTAGTATGTAACGTGAGTTTGACTGAGCCAATGACAAGTGCGGACACAGTGCTTTTTTTTTTTTTAATGAGCAGGGCGCGGCAGGCAAAATAATGGATTCAAATGAATGGAAAAACCAGCGTTTTTGTCGGATTTAGGGTGATCAGACATTAGTTTTATTTATGCTATTACACATATGCCATTTCGATTTGCAGGCAACCTTGTGGGCCAGAAAAAAGTTCTGAAGGGCCTGATTCGGCCCGTGGGCCGCTAGTTGAATAGGCCTGCTATACACTTACAATACAGTAAATCACATGAAAGAGGGAATTGTTTTCTAAATATGCAAATAAAGTACAAAAACAAAATGTGTTCTAATTTCTTGTATATGTTCCTGTGTTCCAGGATACCAGGGAAGACCTATATGATGATAGCCGTTCTAACAGTGGGTACTATGGGCCTGTCCAACACCTCCCTGGGATACCTAAACTACCCCACACAGGTCATCTTCAAGTGCTGTAAACTCATCCCAGTCATGATCGGAGGAGTGTTCATACAAGGTGAGCTGAATTTACAATAAACAACTAATGCTGTTTGACAATCATTTGAACCTTCATGCTATGTCATTCAGTATGTGCTGTTCTGTTGGGTTAAATATGGCAGCTGTCTCTTCAATCCACATTATTTGATCTGCACTTGACACCTCACCACTGAAGTTTAATGTGATCCATTATATGTGTTGTTTGAACGAGGTGGAGTGTGATCTCTGGGTTGGCTTCGTGGAAAAGCTTTAACATAATTCAACGGTTAGGATAAACTGAAATCATGAATTTCAAATAACCTGCTTTCTTGAAAACCCCCAGAGCCGTAATTGTGATCAGTTGACAAAAAATCCGAACTTTTCATCCTTTAAGAAAAAATAATAGATATGGATTTTGTATCATCTAATTGTATACTAAGGTTAGGCCTTGACGTGTTAATTCAGAGGAAACCGGAATTCTGTTTGCATCATTACCTAAAGGTTAATATGTTTTCTTTGAACTTAAAATAATTTAACCGAAGTCATCAGGCAAGAGAGTTTCACTTTTTTAAAACTTATTCCAGTCATCTCACAATTCCTCTAAAGCATTGACCACTTTTCATCCTCAGGTACCTCCTTTTTATCTGAGTCCGTTGTTCTGGTTCTGTCTCTCCTTTCATCCTCACGGCCCACTCAAAGTTCTCTGTCCTGGGCGTCAGACAGGTTGTGTGTAATGTTTTGCATCTCACTCTGGATGGATAGATGTGAGCACCAGGGTCCCTGAAGGGGTCGAGTAGAAAACAGATTTTATTCACTTAGAATGCAAAGAAAGTGGGGAGAGGGGGCTGGATGCAGGGGGGGGCTGCATCTGATGTGAGGCCCTTCAAAGGCCAGTCAGGGAATCAAAGCCGGCCACGGTCGACCTGATGCTGCGTCCCCCTGTCAACCTCTAGGCATCTGTCCGTCAGACTGCTTCTGGAAGACTCCTTCACTCTGTTGTTCCCAACTTTTGCCTCTTCACAAAGCTGTTTTGGTGCTTTGTTACATGCACAACCTTCAGAAGCCAAGAGTGAGAGACACTTTTAGTTCAATGGTTTACCTGAGTGCAATGTCAATTAATTTGAGTTAAAAAGAGTAGGGTTATCTTTTTGAAGATTTCTCTATGTGATGAAAAATACTCTGCCTTTGCTCTGTCTTTGTTGATGGTGGCTTTATCAAAAGTTGTATAAGTTAATTCCTGAAAGAAATCCTGTTTTGCCAAAGTTATTCAAAATGGGATAAGGAGATTTTAGACGTTTTAATTTCTGATTAGTTAGTTTCATCTTTTTAATGCTGTTTCTTTGTGTCCCAGGTAAACGCTATAATGTGGCTGATGTGTCGGCTGCTCTCTGCATGAGTCTGGGTCTCATCTGGTTTACTCTAGCTGACAGCAAAGTGGCCCCCAACTTCAACGTCACAGGTATTTTATTTATCCTTACAAAATAAGTATGGCAAACATATTGTGCTCTGTGCAAACTCACCAACATATCTCTGTACAGCTTCAGCTAAAACACATACTTTCTATTCAGATATCTGTGGTCTTAGTTTGAGTGTGTGTGTGTGTGTTTTACTTACAGGTGTTCTCCTCATCTCCCTGGCACTGTGTGCCGACGCCGCCATCGGAAACGTGCAGGAGAAGGCCATGAAGCTCCACAACGGCTCCAACTCTGAAATGGTACACTGTCACAAGTATACATTAGTACATGATACAAGGCCTAGTCCAAATGTACGCAGGTTAGGTACACACAAATACTGATGTTTTTAACATTGCAAACATGACGTCCACATGTTTACACATAGAGGTACTGTTCTACTATACCAGCCCAACAGGGGCGTCAGAATGCACTAGGAAGGTCACTCACTGATACAATTCCACGACACAGACCCAACCACCCACATTTCAAAGGAGGGAAAACTCAAAAATACCCATGTACATGTGGAATAGGTCTTCCCAAGTTTGTCTAAAGTAGATTTGTTCACACTGATGGCGCCGCTGCAGAATATGTACATCTGCTTGCATCAAATGAATTGTGATTTTTGTCATTTTCTGTGTGTGACTACTGACTGATCCACTGTGGTTGTGTTGACAGGTGCTGTACTCATACTCCATCGGTTTTGTCTACATACTGACAGGCCTGCTCTGTATGGGGGGTCTGGGGCCAGCAGTGGCTTTCTGCTCAGAGGTGAGTGTCCCATAATGCTGCATTCACATGATGCACGATTTGCTGCTACATACAGCTGTTATCTGATAAGGTCAGCATTTGCAGACATGTTACAAGTCAATTCTTCCCTTAAGATGTGCAGATTAATTGTATCAAACCCTGTGTCTCCTGTGTAACCTCAACTCAACCTTATTTATAAAGTCCTGAAATAATTTAGATTTTATATTCTCATAAGATGCCCTTTATTTGCCTACTTTTAGGGTGCGTTCACACCTGCCTTGTATAGTCCGGTTGAATCGAACCCTGGTGCGTTTAGCCGCTTGGTGCGGTTCATTTGGGTCGGTGTGAACACAATCCGAGACCTCTTAAGTGAACTAAACAACCGGACTCTGGTCCGCTAAAATAGGTGGTCTCGGAGCGCTTGCTAGTGAACTCTGGAGCGGTTCATTGCTGGTGTGAACGCAATCCGCACCAAAACATAGGAAGCGTAGTATTTACGTGTCACAAGAACGCGGATATCTTCAAAATCTTTAGCGAAAGACTCTTTCAAGACATCCGCGGTTGTTTAGTTAAGTAAAAATTCTCCGTCAACTAGGCCTACATAAAAGTAATGAATGAATGTTTATTTATATAGCCCAATATCACAAATGTTACACTTGTCTCAGTGGACTTCACAGTTTGTACAGAATATCAGTATGACAATACGACACCCTCTGTCCTTAGACCCTCACATCGTACAAGGAAACACTTCCGGAGAAAACCCACAGTTTAAAGGGAACATGGGAGAAACCTCAGGGAGAGCAACAGAGGAGGGATCCCTCTCCCAGGACGGACAGACGTGCAATAGATGCCGTGTGTAAATTGAAAAGATAATACATTTGCAACATAGGTAGTCCAAATGTTTGGAAATGCATGTGTCAGTAAGAACACCTGTCGTCGGTGAAACGCCCCTCCTTACTGCAGAACGTCTCTCGTTGTGTATGTGCTATAATGTTTTTTAACGGACGTTGTCTGATTATATAATCATATGCGCGGGCCGCTAGTGTCTGTTGATCTCCAGATTAACAGCAGCATGAGAATAACCTGCCGAAAGTGCCGATGCTCCATGGCGGAGCCTCCAGTAGAAATTGCCGGGATTTGCGTTTTTACCCCCTTAATGTCTGACCAATGGTTGAACAGCATTTCCGTGCACATGACTTGTGTTTAAAGTTTATAGTCCGTTTGAGTTTTGCCCGTGTGAACGCAAACCGAACCTTCTGAAAAATGAAACGATGTAACAAACTGTGGTCTGGTGCGCACCAGAGAGCGGACTATTAGGTGTGAATGCACCCTTAGTGTGTGCTGATGTTGTTGCAGCATCTAGCGGGCAATAGTTTAAAGGAATGTTTCTCTGTCCAATTATTTTTCACCCTCTCCTCCCTGCAGCACCCTGTGAAGACGTACGGTTACGCGTTCCTGTTCTCTCTTACGGGTTACTTTGGCATCTCCTTCGTTCTCGCCTTGATCAAGCTCTTCGGTGCCCTGGTTGCTGTGACAGGTCAGTAATTAATTGAGATTATAGTTTAGACTGATTTAGACTTGTGTCTTAACTTATAATAAAAAGAGTTACAATACTAGTAATGTCTGTATAAACATGTTAGAGTAACATATCATATCTTGAGCTTTTTATTTCTTTTTAATGAGGACCTAAAACCACAAATGTTTCTCATCCTTTGCAGTGACCACAGGGAGAAAGGCCATGACTGTCGTACTTTCATTCATGTTCTTTGCGAAACCTTTCACTTTTCAGTAAGTACATGGACTTTGGTCACTTTCCTCCTAGTTTAAAATGAGTCTACTCTGGCCTCTCCTTTGAATAATAAAACTTGATCTGGCTCCCACTGCCCTGAGTTTTCATGTCCTCAGTCTATTTTCAGACCCTGCTCTTTCACATTGTCCTTCACTCTCACTCTCCCTCCTTCTGCTGTCAAAGGGTCGTTATCTGCTCTATCTCTCCTGCTCCGTCTTTACTTTTTACATGCATACTCACAAGATACTCAAAACTTTGTGTGTCTTTTGCCAACTTCCTCTACCCTCCAGCTGGTGTGTCATGGCTGCTGCTTCCACTTTTCAAACTCAAATATTTCCTTATCAGCATATGCACAGTGTTTCCATGACCATCAAGTTGAACCCTGCCCTTCTTTATACCAGTTATTACATTAGCACCTTGTTTATTTGCATATCATTTCTGCCATAATAAAATATCCTGTCTCTTCTTTGTCAGGTACATCTGGGCTGGCCTTTTGGTGCTCTTCGGCATCTTCTTGAATGTTTACAGTAAAAACAGCGATAAAATGAAGCTTCCCTCCATCAAGGACCTTAAGAGCTGGGTGCTGACGGGAAAGAAAGTCAGATTTCTTTCACAAAACGTATAGGAGGAACCCAAGGGTTGGCAGTCTGTTGTAGAGTTGGCCCACCAGCTACATGACACAATGAAACTATGACGGGTGATAGAGCTGCTGTATCCCCTCTCTATCTACCAGTACACCACTGGCGTAGAACTGCCTCAAACTGCAGCAACCTGAAGGAACTCTAACAGTTTTTTACAAGGGGATCAATGCTAAGAGGGTCATTTGAAGACCTACGGAAACATTCCCATCACGGAGGACGACACTGAGGACTCTCTAAAGGGAAGCCAGCGCCTTCGCTAACCAAATCGCACAGTTTTGCACTGGAAATGACTTTTACAAGTATAATGGTTGGAAAAAGTGTAATATAGGAAGGAAGAAAACAGGGTGACTTATCTATCATGTCAGAAATTAATGTTTGTCCCCCACAACATAAAAAGGCATGTTTGCCTCCGCATGTGCCAGAAAGGACTTAGTTTTACATGATCATTGTCTCGATTAAAGTGGCTTTTTTCATAGCTTATTTGTAATTTATATCAGACTGTGCTGATTCATGAAAAATGTGGTGACATTTGGCAGGATACGGAGACATTTGCTCCCATTTACATCAATTCATCAAACATGTCAACTGCCATAATTTCTTAACCATGTGTTCGGCTGAAAGGGTCCCACTCTTTTTACATTAAAACAAACTGAGACGTTTCTCTTCAAGTCCGGCGTTTTCTGTGTGTGTTTGTGTATGTGTGTGTGTTTCTCGTCAGCCCACCCTTATTCTCTCCCCTTTGCACCGCTTGAGAGAAGAGTTGAAATGTTGCCAAACTGTGTGTGTGTTTATCCATCCAGTGGCCCTAGGCATGTTTGATTAGGAGTCCTGAAAAAAAGATAGCAATGCTCGACAGAAAACAAACGGCAGACTTCTTTACTGTGCCGAGGCTGTCCAATTCATGTGGATCCATCCTGTGTGTGTGTCATTCATACACTCCATTCACTTTAAATGATTATGTAGTGAAGCTCACACCTGCTTCTACCACAGTACACTTCAGTTCCCTTTTGGCGCTTGTGAGGATATTTAGTTGAGACTTTTTTGGAGATATTCTACCAATCACAAATCTACATTAATGTGTAATAGTAGGGGATTGCATCTGATTCTTTTTTTTGGGGGGGGGGGTTACTGTATTTCCTGCAGAGCTCACCTGCACTGAATCCCTGCATTACTATAGATATTACTGTGCATTGTGTTTTAATGGACAACATTTAATCCAGATAATAATTGGGACCTGCGATTGCCTAACTGTTTATCGTGTTGCAATCTACGTATAAAATACTTATCCAATATATATAGATTGATGTCCCTTTTAATAACCAGTAGCTTGACCTTAATGATGAAAAAGGGAGACCTGGCCAAGGCAGACACCAGCAAGAAGAAGAAAAAGAGAAATAATATTAAAGGAACCAATAATCAAGAAAAGGAACTTGACATTTCAAAAGTGTTTTTAAAAGTCTGTTTCGTAACCAGGTCAAATAAAAATAAATAGTGACATTTAAAGGAATGTGCTTCATATTTTTTATTTTCAATGCATTTTTACATTACATGTCATGCACTTGTTAGACACTTTTATCCAAAGCGACTTACATATACTCAATACTGTGGACAATCCCCACAGGAGCAACTTCCGGTAAAATGCCTTGCCCAAGGACACAACGACATGCTGACTGCAGTGGGGATTGAACCAGCGCTCCCCTGAAACGAAGATCAGCTTACTGAGCCACAACCTCCCCATCTGATGAGATCGATCACCCAGAGTTAAGTCTTACAGCAACATGCTGAAGCTGCACAAAAAAACAATGACTTTTTCCAGTTTCTGCACAGGAGACACCTCATTGAAATTGTAAAATCCATTGTGATACGGTTTTGCTATGAGTAAAAATCCACAAAATATGACTAGAATCTTGTCCCCAGATTAATGAGTTGTAAGCTGCAGGGCTGCAGAGTGATTAGAGACACCGTCCTTCACCCTTGGACCCAGAGTCGTCCCTGTCAGATGCCCTGCAGCAGTTCTGTTAGCTGACCATTTATTCTGACCTCTGGATGGACACACAGGTGAGAAGAGAATGTCCTGAGAGAGGTCAATGAAATGCTATATTACAATAAACTGAAAATCTCACTTTGTTGAAATGGTTGCAAACCTAAACCGCCCAATCAAGGAGATATTTGAGGAATTCATGTGAGGAGTCTTTTGTCCTTGATGCTCTCTTTATGTGTGTGAGTGTCGCTGCCATATCATGGTGTGAAATGAAAAAGACTTGCCAGCTCAGCAGGGGCCCGCTGAGTGTGGCTCTCCCTGTGATCTTAATAGAGGCCCTGATATTACAGTCTCACTTCCAGGCGGGAAACCCAACGCTGAGCCAATTAGTAATTTGGTATTTCATAGGATTTGGCAGCTTGTGTCTGATGACAAACTGACAGAGATCCTCGCTCCTCCAGGGAACCTTTGGCAGTGAAGCAGTATACACACACATACACACACACACACACACACACACACAAACACACAGAAGTTTTCCTGTGTCGAACATATGGGGAGCGTGTAACTCGATTGAAAACAGGAAATGACTTTCTTGTTTGGCTGCAGATTCTTATTGGGGAAAACATTTTAGTTTTCAAAAGGCTTTATTTATGACTCCGTGTTAAGCATATGTTTTTATATGATTGATGAACAGTAAAGCAGTCCATTATAGGTCGAGAGGTCGCAGTGTTACAACATTAGTTTGCCATTATATATAGGTTTGACATGTGCCGTACAGTCCTGCTTCATCGCCATGGGAACTGCTGTTCTCTTCCAGCTCCCTGAAAGGTCATTATGGGATGGGAAAGCCCAGTTGACCCAAGGCAAAGTACATCATTTGTCTTTTAGCACCAGGAGAACACACGTAACAAAGCAGGCTGACCCCTGTTAGAACGCTGAGGATTTCAGCCATTTTTCAAAGCCACATAGGAATTTGCCTCTCACTGAAGTCAGCTGTTTTATATTGTTTTAAACAAAAATGTTTTATTTTTTAAGCAGAAATGACTTTAAGTGTTTAGAAGGCGATGACTGTGTGTATGATTCAGAAAAATGAAACAAAATAATGTTAAAAATATAGATAGGCCAGCATCTGAACTATTTTGTCTTTACCTTTTCTATATTTCATTCTCCAACTGCCAACTCATTGTGCAACCCCCCCACTCCCAACCAACCAACCAACCACACACACACACACACACACACACACACACACACACACACACACACACACACACACACCTGCTAACCTAGGCCATCCAACCTCTGCTGTGGCCCTTCCTAATAAATAATGGGAGGTGTCCGGAGCTCATCATCCCAGCAAATGGCCTGCTATATAATATGTGGTCCACTTCAGATGGCCTGCTATATAATATGTGGCCCGGCCTCGGATAGCCACAGCAGGGAGGGTTGGCAGCACATTCATTACGGGGGCAATCGGTTCAGTGGGGGCAGCGAGGTGGCTAGGTGAGGGATACGCGGCCGCTCTCACAAAGACATGTACACACCAGGTACACACACACACACACACACACACACACACAGATCTGCTCTCTCTTTCACACACACTAACACATTCACACACAATCCCTGTCGTCCTAGTTGCTAAATAGGAGCTACACATAAACAAATAGTAAGACTGTAGGCTACATATACAGTCAGTTGTTTGGTTAAGGGCAGTGCATTGAGTTGAGACTCAATACTAACACATTTTCTTTAATGTGTGAACTTGTCATGTTTTTAAGAAACCTTTAGACAGTTTGTTTTGGTTTTATGTGAAGTTGCTACCGTTAATTTGCTAGGCGCAGTAACTTCCTATAGTCTTTGAGGTCCCTAGGCAAGCATGTGTAGTTTAACGGTATTTTAACAGTTTGAGGTTTTAAGTGAAAACACATTAACAAGTAAGCTTTAGAAATGCTGGTAGGTGGATTTTCTTTGTTTTGGACTGAGCCAGGCTAGCTATGTTACTGTTTTCAGTCTTTGTGCTATGCTAAACGAAGCTAACCTAACCGAATACTATGGTAGCTTCAAATGTACTGTGTGTGGTTTTAATATTCTTATCTTATTTTCAACAAGGGAGGAAATATGCAAAAATAAAAGATATATATATATATATATATTGCTACATGTAGGTTACAAAACATATTACACCTTCCTTTTCTTCCTTATCCTCATGTTTTCATCCTTTATTTCTTCTGTATTTCTCTATAACATCCATTCTATTATTTCCTTAGTTTCCCTCCTTCATCCCATCCCTCCTCCTTTCCTTTAATCCTTCCCTGTCCACATCAGCCCCCTCCCCACCTCTTCCTCCTCCTCCTGCTACCTCGGACTCATTACACCCCACCCACCCGTACCCCAGCCTCAGCGAGAAGCTCTCCTCATATAATATGATGGCCATCTGCTAGACTGAGCCACGCTTTCCAAAAGCCCGGGGGCGAGATGTTTATCTGTCGTCCCCCTCTCAAACTCCTTTAAGGATGCAAAACATATCAGCGATCATCGCCGCCACAATTAGCACAGGTGCTGCTGAGCTGTAAAGTGATCAGGAGAAATGGGAGGAAACATAATTGAAGTGGATTAGAGCGGAGAGGTGGGAGGGAAAAAATGAAATAACATTTCTGGGGGCTTGGACAGCGGCCCTTCTATACTGCTGTTTAAAATTCACTGTGCTGTGATTAAAACTGGAGGAAGTCCTGGCAAGGAGCTTTGGTTTTTAACAGCTGTCTAGTGTTTTCTACCACACTGTTTCCATGAATGTGGTCCTGTCAGGTGGAAATATGGAGGATTTGATTTGATCGTATACGTATTTTTGATGTTTAACCAAGATCAAGGCGTTTTAAACATGTGCTACTGCATGTCTTTTTTTGTTTTACCTGAGGAGCTTGTACAGCAGCGTATGTGTGTGGGTGTGTGTGTGTCATGTAAAGAGTAACACATGACAACCCATATCTTCTTGGATTCAGCTTGTCAGCATCCTCTGACAACATGGCAGAAAACATTTGTGCACGTGCATGCAAACGCATACAGATACTGTACAGACACACACACCTTCACACACACACACACACCGTTTTGGGTAGCTCGAGCAGGGCCGAAATATTCCACTGCAGTCACTCATGAAGAGAAATTCTTAATAATAAATATCCAGCCAATAATGAATGTGCTGCTGGCTGCAGTTGTCTTGGGGGCATAATATCTAATTTCCTCCCAATGTTTCATATCCCTACTCCTGCATGTCGACACAGTCCATCATTACACCCCAATGCAGGTTCCTATCACTTTTATTTATTTTTCAAATCAATATATAAATCAAAGCCTGGACAGATGAGATCCAATAAATTACAGAGTGCCGGACAAATGCAGAATGTTAACTGTGTACCAGGAGAGGAGATTCCCATGGGTGCTGCCTGGCCTGCGCTGTGGGCGACAGGAAAATCTACTAAATGTCATATTAAATCACAGCTAAGTTGAATATTACTCTGTGCTGTTTTAATACAAGTGGAAAAAACTCATCCAAGGCCTTATCTGAATAACTTTCGTGGATGCCATGTATCTACATAGTATGGTTCATTCTGAATGAAGGATTTTGTTGTTGTATAGATGTTCCCGCCTGCAAATCTTATTCTACGGTCTTAATAACATATCTTT